ATAAAGTCAATACCCAAAAGTCAATAGCATTCCTCTACACAGACAACAAACACACTGAGAGGGAAATTATAGAAACAATACCTTTTACAATAGCACAGAGGAAAACGAAATACCTTGGAATAAACCTAACTAAAGAAGTCAAAGATCTTTTCCAGGAAAATTATAGCACTCTTAAAAAAGATATCATAGAGGATTTCAGAAAATGGAAAGACATTCCATGCTCCTGGATATGAAGAACCAACATTGTGAAGATGGCCATACACCCAAAATTGTGGTATAGATTTAATGCAATCCCTATCAAACTACCACCAACATAACTCACAGATCTAGAGAAATCGTTCCTAAAATTTATTTGGAACCAGAAAAGACCTAGAATAGCAAAGGCAATCCTGGCCAACAAAGACAAGGCAGGGGGGATTATAATTCTTGACTTGAAATTATACTGCAAAGCTACTGTGATAAAATCAGCATGGTACTGGCAACAAAACAGACCTGAGGATCAATGCAATAGATTAGAAGACGCTGAATCCTCTACAAACACACTCAGCCACCTTATCTTTGACAAAGGGGCCAAACATACTCACCGTAAGAAAGATAGCCTCTTTGACAAATGGTGCTGGAAAAACTGGCTCTCTACATGCCGAAAACTAAAACTTGACCCAGGTCTATCACCATGTACTAAAGCTAAAGTCAAAATGGATTAAAGATCTAAATATTAAGACAGAAACACTAAATCTCCTGGAAGAGAAAGTAGGAAGAACTCTTGAAGACATAGAGGTAGGCAAAGAGGTCAGGAACAAAAATCAAATCGCATGGGAAACACTTGAAAGAATTAACAACCTGGACCTCCTCTTATTGAGAAGTTTCTTCACGTCAAAGAGATTACCAACAAAGTGAAAAGACAACCCACAAATCTGGAAAAACTCTTGACAAATAAGTATTCAGACAAAGGTCTGCTCTCTAGAATTTATAAAGAACTAAAAAACACTAGGGCCCCAAAATTTAAAGACCCAGTCCACAAATGGGCATCTGAGATGAACACACACTTCTCAGAGGATAAAATTAAAGAAGCGAATAAATATATGAAAAATATTCCACATCATTAGCCATCCATGAAACGCAAATTGAAACAACATTGAGATATCATCTCACCCCTGAAAGAATGGCTATTGTAAAGAAATCAACCAACAAAAAATGTTGGAGAGGCTGTGGGGAAAAAGGAACCCTTCTCCACTGCTGGTGGGAACGTAGACTGGTGCAACCATTATGGACATCAGTGTGGCGACTCCTTAGAAACCTAGGACTGGAAATCCCACTTAAACCTTTACTGGGAATTTTCCCGGAGGATCTGAAAACATCATGTCATAGTGATATATGTGTGCCTATGTTCATAGCAGCACAATCTGTGATAGCCAAATCTTGGAAACAACCAAGATGCCCATCACCTGAGGAATGGATGAAAAAGATGTGGTATTTTTATACAATGTAGTATTACTCAGGTATAAAGAATGATAAACTTAAAGCATTAATATTGAAATGGATGCCACTTGATGATATACTCATAAGTGGGGAAATAAATCAGACACACATGTATAAATATCGTATAGTTTCCCTAGTATAAGAACTCAAAAGAAGAAATACAAATAGAAAGGTATAATACAATTAAAAGGAAAGCAAGAACTTGAGGACTAGACAATGAAGACAGAGCAAGAAGAAGAGCTAGGAAACATGACAGAGGCAAGCCGTACAGTTATATGTACAAGATG